CGGTCGTTAAGTATTTCATCAAATACATGGTTGGACTTAATAAGCTGCTTTTTGATCAAAATTAAGTAAATAATTATTATGTTAATACTAATAAATATTTTGTAAATATTTAATAAATGGTTTGAAATTATTGTGGCTTTGAATTACATAGAAAAATAAATCCCTGTATTTATTTACGTATTTACGTTATTTATATACATTTGCATACCTATGGATTGCATATGAAATGACCATATATTTAAATTTAAAGTCTTATCTAGAAAATGTGAATATTTTGTTTGTAATTATACTTTGATTATGAATTATTTGCAATGATATCTGCAAAAGAATCCGCAGTAATGTAATAAAAATACGAGATCAGTTATTAGTTATATAAACTTCTTAGTGCTAAATTAGACATCATGCAACGTGCTTTACGCACGTTATTTAACATTTGATTCTTTTAGCGTTTATTATACTTGTTTAATAATTGCTTATATATAAATGCATACAATTAATATTTTACTATTTTTGTTACACTATTAAACCCTTTGATACATACAATTGTCAAATGCGATGACAGCTGCTATAAAGTAAATACAACGAGAAAATTAATCGACACATAATAGTTCAAAATTGAAAAAAAATTAGTAAAAAAACAAATTTTCAAGTTTTGATTTCAACTTTTAAATTATATGATATATTATCCCAAATATCTGTATAAACTTCGATATACAACTAAAGAGAATGCATCACATTTTCTTACATTAACAATTTTATTTATATAAATTTGTTAATCTTATGCTGTATAAAAATATGTGTGCAAATATATATGAAAGAAATATATCACGTTTCTTATTCACATTTTTTATAAATTTATACAATTTCCAGTTGAAGCAAACTGTGCACTGATTAATTATTTGTTGGTCTTAAAACATACAATCTAAACTTTTAGCTGGAATGATATGTGACACATGATGTATAATATTTGTTTTATATTTTATGAAATATATTAACAATTTAAAAACATTTACTCAAAGTTAAACAATTTAATACACTTGTTTTGTAAGTACAATATTGCTTTTACTAATATAACATTAAAAAGATATAAATTTTTAATTCTTTTGTATAATGCACTAATAACAAATGTTCTAGTATAAAAGATAGCAATATTAAGTAAAAATCGATTGATGAAATAAAAAAACTCATTTTGAAAGTAAAATATAGTATTTTAAGAGAGAGAGAATGTAGACACAATTGTCAAAATAAAATTTTCTTAATCGCAGTACTATTATAAATATAGAGAAAATGATCATTTTTTGCCTATATTATTCCAACTTTCTCTAAAATATAATGTGATGAGCAAATTCTGAGAACAACAGAACTAAGTAAGTTTTTAACGTTAAAAAATACTTTGAAAACTTTTGGATATTTCGTAAGCCAAAGACAAAAGTGTCAGACAGTGTAATCGATGCGTAGTTCGTTTAAACTGGAAATTGTATAAATTCACAAGAATGAGAAACGTGATGTTTTTTATGATTTATAAGTAAAATGTTTACACATGTATTCTTTATGCAGCATAAGGTCAATAAATTTACATAAATAAAATTGTTGATATAAGAAAATGTAAAGATTCCTTTTTATTTCATATTACAGTACAAAAAAGTTTATAGTAAATACAAAAAAGATAATAACAAAGGTGAGAATTTAGATACTTCTAGTTGCCCCCGACAGAGTATTAAGTAAGTTACAAAGTGCACAGATTGTACTTTGCGCACTCACAGTTTATATAAATATTAATATAGATACTTGTGATGCGTCTATTGCATTATTTATTAAGTGTAAAAAAATTTTAGCAGAAATATTATAAAGTAAAATGACACGATACTTGATTTCTTTAATGATAACATGCATACAATCATGCCTGCTCTGATACGCTAGAAT